ATTAAATCAGAAAAGAGAGCAAGCATGAAGTTGAATTAGTCAATTATCTCTTACAGCACGTACTATTGAATTTAGAGTGAAGCGTTTTTGAATGAATTATTAATAATTAATTATTTGTTCTTAAAAATTGATTAATGAGATATTTGTCGTAAAAACTGAATTATAAAGTTTATTTTAAAGAAAATAATGTTATTGCTCATAAATGCTAGGAGAATTATTACTTTGCAAGCGAAAACAGGAATGCAATATTGGATGAAACAGGTAAATAGCTTATTAAATAATAGTCACATTATTAACTGATAACGAAATGAAGGAAAATGTGTCTCAAATATTTATTGGAAGCGAATGTAATGCAAGAAAAGATAACAATAATGATAATAGCTATGTAGAATAGAATGTATTAATGATTTTTGGCATTATTAAAGATAAGAAATAAAAAAGTCTGAGGAAGTAAAACTTTAATTTATTAGCATTTATCTTGGTTCTGAAGCTTTAAAAAAAATATCAACGTCAAATGAATTGTTATTAATTTTCGCTTTTGATCAAGTTGTTTAGTCTACGCTAATTAACAATTAGAATATATTGAAGAGATATTTCTTTACAATTCTTATTTATTGCTGAAATAAAAAAGGCTTATAATCAGTCCATGCGCAATACTTTTATTTGCATTATCAAAAGTTTAATATTAAATATTATATTATTTAGTAGCAAAATTTAAAGCAATTTCCAAAATGAAATAATGTTTACTTTTTAGAATACGGCGTATTTCAAACTTAGTTCACGTTTTATAATATATTCCATCAATGCATCCAAGTGCAAGCACTTACAAATGAATATTTGATCAGCTGCTGTTGAAACATTTCTAGAATGCTGGCATTTTTATTTGACTTACACCCTGATCAAATCAGTGAAATAATAATGAATAACATTTTTGAATTTGATGGCAAAAATATATGAGAGAGAGTGATACTGCCTGTTTGCATCATAGCTTCTGCATCTACAAATTCAATTTCATTTACTCTATTAAATCAAAAATGAGTTTAAAGTTTCAACTTTAACCTTTCAACTATTTTCATGAAAACAGCTTCCACATCACTTCTTTTATCCGAATACGTCAAAATTAATTTGAAGAAGACAGTGAAGTCAATTATCACTGAGAGATAGCAGAAGTAATATTTTTAACAATTTTATCGAAATTTTATAAAAATAAATTGCAATGCAATGAAATGAAATGAATTAATGTGTGTTTACAAAAATATGCATTTTAAAAACATTTTTTACTTTATTTTAGCTAAGCGGTGACATTGATTTCCATCTGTGTAATCAGAGTAGGTGTATTTCTATCCGTTTAAATATTCAAGCATTTTTTTACACAGGCAAATTTTTAATAAATAATAGAGAGCTTTCAGCGTCAAATTATTTATAATTTTACGTATTGAAACTATGCTAGCATATTTGTGTCTAAAATCAATTTCCTGCACAAAATTTATCCTTACTTTTTGCTACAAACAATTTTGCTAGTCAAATTGTGTTTTCAACGAATTTAGCTTCGAAATAAAAATTTACTTTGATAATTTTCAATGAAGTAATTTTACGAATTCTTTTGAAAGTAAGCATCAATCCTCCTCAGTACTTATTACCAAGTTGTAACAACCATAAAAAGTAAAACAACTAATCAACATAGACTTAACACAATGCTCACCTTGATTTTGGACAATATTTCAAGTAATCATAATTTTTGGGCTACATATTCACTCCAAGCAGTAATCAATAATTTATTTGAATTAATACATACTTTAGTGAAATGCAAATTCCTCTAATAATTTCAATATTATTTTTTCTGTCCTTCGAATGTTGTTGGGCCTATTCGCAATGCCTTCCTGGTGGATATGCTGTGGCCCTAGGCTGCAACACTGCGCAGCAGTGCACGCCCTATACTGCTGAACCTGTAGCTTGCATTGATGGAGCTTGCTGTGTTGAGAATAATGCCATTGCATCAAACAGCGCAAATTCATTGAGTTGTACTAATGGTGGCAAAGTTTTGGCTGCTGGCTGTGTTAGGCCCGAGCAATGCCTACCTTTCACAAGTGAGCCTGTGGCTTGCATGCAAGGCCTTTGCTGTACGGTAAGTCTTTCTTCTTTTGTTCCCATTAAAAAGCAAAAAAATTTTGTAGCACAAATTAAAAATTCATTTTCTATGTAAATAATGCACTAAAATGATATAAATGGATTTTTGTAACAATTTGCTCTGTGAAAGTATTGTATTTTGGATTACTACTGATTCACTGTAGTTGAAAAAGTTTAATTTGTGCTAGATATTGGAAATCTAGCTGTAAATAATCAGATTGTGTGTATTTGATCTAATAATTTTCATTCTAGGTTCCACAAAAATGTCCGAACGGTGGACGCGTAGTTGGTTTGCAATGTTCTGATTCTCAGTCGTGTATTCCGTTAGCTAAGGGTTGTCCGGTTGTATGCATGAATGAACTTTGTTGCACCATTTGGGGATATTAATTATAAATTAACTTAAAGTCTAGAAAAATGACCTGTATAAACTTATTTGATAACATGAAGAAATGAATACAGTTGTGTTATTCTGTTTAATACTTTTACATCTATGTTGAAAAACTACTTTACAAAAATGTGAAATGGAAGAAAAATTAACAAATATTTCTTCTATTTTGAATTGATCGTTATTTATATTCGATAAAAGAGTTAAGTTTTACCAGTGACTTGCTTGTTATTACTTTGATCTTTATTTAGATGAGAAATTATAAATGAATGGATCAATAATTTTTTCTGGTTCTTTATCGATTTCTTCCTCATCATCTTCTTTAATGTCAGCCATGAGGCCTATTTTACTTTCGCAGTGCAATCTTAACAAATTGATTAGATCATCTGATTTCAAATCTGCATTCATATCCATTGATTGGAATGCTGACATTGCCCATTTAATCCGATCCAAGACTGACTGAAAATGATAAAATTTATTTAGCATTCTTATTTGCATTTAACAAAATAAAATATATTGGAATAAAATGTAATTCGATGAATATAATTGAGAAAAATATTAATTTTGTTTCAAAAAGTTCAGTTTTAAATATGTTTTTAAGGCAGAATTTTTGTAATTAATTTAGAATAGGTTTAATTAACAATTACTTTTTGATGATATTTATAATTCAATTATATAATTAAATATCAATTGAGTAGTTAGCATAAAAATTTATATACAAACTAGTTAATACTTGTTCTGAATTGCTGACAATACTACCATCGAATGGTATTGGATTGCCTCTAAGGGAAGTGATTAGATGAGTAAGATTAAACGTGGCTTGAAGTGACTTGTTAGCAGTGCGCAAATGTACATTTAGCTCTTCTAACTCATCTATACATGATGTAATCTAAAGTGATTTTTTTTGTCATAAAAATATTGAAGGACAGATAAATTGAAATTTTAATGTCATTTTGTTCAATTTATTTTCAACATTTCATTAAATCAAAATAACTTCCAAGTTTTAATTACTTCTTCGCTTTTTGATTTATTATAGCCGTTACTGACTGCTTTCAAATATAAATTATTATCATTCCATAATAAGTAATTAGCTACCTTTTGATGTGTGTATTCTAATAAAGTGTTCATATGATCGACTTCTGCTGCTCGTTCTGTTTTCAATTTTCCCAAAGTGGTCATTTGAACATCCCTTAATAGTGTGCTGAGCTTCTGCATTGTTTTTTCTAATTCTTCTCTTCTTTTTTCTTGCTGAATGAATAATTAATCAGTAATAATTATTATAAAGAATTTAATTACAATTACATGGATACTAATTACTGTAAAGAATTTTTATTGAAAACGTATTAAATACCTACTTGAATGTACTCATTTAATTTGCAAAAAATTTCATCTGATGGAAGAGAGCAAGTAAGTTTTGCAAGTGGTTGTTTGTCTTCAATCCTTGCAATTAGTTCATTCATAAATAGATAAATGAAGTCTAAACTTTCTGCCTGAATTCGATAACGCTCTAAAATTAACAAAATTTTTGTATTTTTACGATTTTATTGAAAAAATAATGCAATTACTAGCAACTGCTAAAAAATAAATGCAAACTTGATTAAAACTGAAACAATTTTTTGCTCACTATTTTTTTGTGATATAAATATTGATACGATCTTCTCTGATAGATAAGGTTGGAAGCCAATTGCTGTATTGTTCTCGATTTCGAATTCTGAAAAATATGCATTAATAGAATATTATGTGTCAAAGATCAAATTTTTTACTTGGAATATTTTTTATGTGCTCAGAAGTCAACAATGAATAAAAAATGGATGAAAAAACAGATATTTCTTGATTTTTACCCAATTATGAGACTGATGATATTTTCATATCTCAAATAAAACCTTAAATATGGTATTTTCAGTCACAAAGTACAATTTCTGGAAAAAAGTGAAGTAATTGGCCTTAAAATACTGCAAAGCTTTTGGTTTGCTTTTGTGAGGCAAATCAAAAAGTTACATATGATTTTTGTTTTTTTTCCGTGAAATATAAACTGGGAGAATTGGCTCTTCAAAGTGTGCTTTAAATAATCTTAGTTTTTTCTATTTTTTTAAAAATTTAAAGGTTTTTGTTTGAGATGAAAATTCAGTAAGCACAGAAATTAAATACTGAAACAAATCCCTGGAAATAACTCTTTCATTTCGAGAGAATTTTGCGTTGATTCGATTGTAACTTTAACTTGTGTTACTCTTTGAGGATTTGCTAATTGACACATTAAGTTCAGTGGCATTTTGACTTCTTCACTTATCACATCGCCTTAATACAAAATTATGTCATAAGTATTGTTATTTTTAAATTATCCAAAAAGTATCATCAGTTATAGACACACATTGTTAAAACTTTACCCATCATCATTGACTATAAATAGTGAAATTGTTAATAATAATTAAAATTAATTTAAAATGTTCTTTAAAATCTGTAATTACTGTATAATATTTGATTAAGTCAATGTGTTATAAAGACTGACATAATTTAGTAATATTATTAATATTTAAAATCAAACTTCTCAGTCCTCAGAATTGCTAGTCTTTTTAAACTTTATCTGAGCTATTTTTTGAATCAAAAAATTAAATAAATTAGAAACTATTCAAAAAATACTTCATATGATGCGAAAAAAACGAGCCACACCGTACTATGTTTGAAATAATTAAATCTCAAATTACTAGAGAGTTAAATTAAACTATGGTGTAAATTATAATTTCATTCTAATTGAAAGTAAAATAACAAACCATATTGAGCAGAAAAAGCACAAAGTTTACAGCGTAAATCATAAACTGGTTCACGTTTCACGCAAACACTTAATGATACTTTCTCGCAACTATCTATAATAATAAATTCTGCTAGGGAAGAATATAGTTAGTCATTTTTTCCAATATGAAACAACTTCACAATCAAGATTATTGCTCAGAAATATTCAAGTATTTGGTTACATTCAACTTTAATATAAAAACTCAAAAAGAGATAAATATTTGATCATAAAACCGACTAATTAATACTTTCATAACAAATTTATATTACATTTTTCTGGAGCGGTTTTTATTTTTAGGGCTATTGTGAAAAGCATTTTACAATTATAACTTTTATTTTGCAAATTTTTTCAGAAAGCAACCAAAACAACTTTGAAAATTGAGATTAAAAAACACACCAACAGCATCAAACGATAAATAATTGGGATCGACGCTAAATCCGCTTGAGCAGATTAGTTTAACGTTTAATGCACGTGTATTACATAACAGTTCAACGTTTAAAGCTAATATAGGAATTTGCAGTGAATCCTCTGTTTGCTTAAACATAACACAAATACCATAGCAAACTTCAATTAATCGCAATAAAAATGATAATATTACAAATTTTTGAAATCGTAATGGAAATTTTGATGCAATTTTTTGTGCCAAAACATATACAGTAAAAAAAACTTGATCTTTGCTTTTGGAGTATAATTTTAAAAAATTTTAATAAAAAATGCTTTCCATTTAAAATGTTCTTTTTCACTCGCTACTACATTCAGTTATGAAAAAGTCAGGGAGATTATTTGATATCTAAAAAGTGTCATTCAGTGATCTTTTAATCTGCTGGTAGTTTTAATGCTATCTTCTGGTAATCTATTCAATTCATAATTGATGTTAGCACTAGAAAATGCAATAAATGTGAAACGGTAACTTTACCGAACTATGATCCAACTCGCCGAACGAATAATTCAGTGTCAATGGCTTTTGAGTAGTAGAAGCTGTAAATAATGATCTAAAGTTTAAATTCATGAAAAAATTTGCTAAAATTGAATCCCTTATCTGAAATAACTCAATCTAAAGAAAGATGAAAACAGAATTCAAAAAACTTTACTTGTGAGAGTAAAAAAGTCCATTCGAAAAAGCTCATGGGACGAAAAAAAGCAAAAATTTCATATAGTAAGTAGACTCATTTTTATATTTAATTTCTTTTCTGATTTCTGATTTAAGATAGCTTTTTGCAGTTGTAAAATATATCAATGAATGGCAATATTTGCAATCATATTAGCGTATTTTGACAATAAAATAATAGCAAAATTTTGAAAATTGAAAAAAATACCATCGAGTAACTCTATTGGCTTTTTACGGATGACAGCTTCAAGCTCTGCAAACTCTTCGTAACGTTGTTGGAAATCTATAAATCGCGTTTGAGGAAGCATAAGTTGGAAAATCGCTGGTTCCGTACCCAAATAATTTACAGATATTCTCGAATTCGACAAAATCACTAACATTGAACGGTATACTGAGCTCAAACATTGAATAACATTTGTTTGATTGAAAAAAAATTTCTTCTATCAATTTTAATTTTTAAAAATGTTTTGAAAAAAAAAGCGCTCTTTAGAAAAATTATTAGTGCATATGTGTCGAAAAAAATAGAAACTCATGTTATATTTAATCATAAAATTTGAATGTAAGTAAACGAATATTGAAAATTTGTAATAAGAAGTTTGAAATTTTCAAAAAAATTTTTGAAATTGTCATAAGCAATATTAGAGGAGTTTGTTATGAACCTGAATGTACACAAATTAATTTGAATTGGTGTATATGAATGTTGTGCTGCCCATACTAAAGTTGTATCTTTGAAAAAAAGTAGCGTTCGAGTAGATGTTGCAATGCAAAATTGAACGTATGCATCTCTTGCTGTAAAAGTAAGGAACTTATTAATCTTTATAAAAAATAGAATTGCAAATATTAGTTACAGCATCACTTGGTCAAAAAATAAATGGCAGTAATCAAATGCAATAAGTAAATATAAGTTTCACTTTCATGCTTAGTTTTATTCAAATTTAAATATAATTTGGATTTTATTGCTGAATTGTTGTGACTTTAATCCAATGTCTTCAATTTAGACTATAAATTAAAATAATTGTTGCTTACGTTTTGAATTAGAAATTAAGTAAAACAAACTGGAATTGTATACTAAAAGTGAAGTAGCAACACACTGCAAACGGTAACAAAAGCGTAAAGCACCACCAAGAGTTAAGCAAAAAATAATACGTTTGCATAAAATTACAACAGAAGGCTGCACAGGAGGAGTATCAATAACTGCTAAATTTAAAGGATAATCCCCAAGACTAAATACCCAATCAGCCTGAAATTTATTACATAAAAATAAATATTAAAACAATAAATTTGTATATCAATATAATATGCAATAATTGAATGGCAATTTATTTAACTCTAAATTTAAAAGCTATTTAGGTCATAGTTTTTCCTTAAAATCCATAAATAATAACTTACTGTTAATTTCTTACCGTATTTACCATTTGATGCAATTGTGAGCATTGAATACTTATAAGAGGTTAGGAGCGCAGAAGAAGTAGCAGTAAGTATGGAATCTGACTGAGATGCATAAATGATTGGACCAGGAAATAAGGCAGAAGTTGAACTGATTGATCTTTGGAAGAGCTGATTCTCAGCTTCAAAAACCATCAGGGAACAATTTAAATCCTGTACACAAATTTGAATACTTTTAGTGTTTCCGAATTTTCCAATACACATATTGTAAGCTACTGTGAGCAGTTGATGCTCATGTAATATATTCAATGAGTACAACTCTCCATCTGAAATCAGAATCAAATCAAGTTTAAAAAGAAGTACAGAGACACTGCACAAGCATTAGAACAGTAGTATAATGATATGAAATGTCTAACCAACCTGAAGTCAAACGACAAATTATCAGTTTTTGCGGTGACAAAAAAGCTATCAAATTTTGTTCCATTCCATGAACAAATTTTTCAATTGCAATATCAATAATACCAAATTGTAATTGCTCTTGTAACAAACAACTCAACTGTCCTTTCGAATCATGTGCCTGATTCGGATCAATCACCCAAATTTGACCAGATGTACTACCTACTACTAACTGATCTGAAACTTAATCTCGTTGCACTGTTTATATTGTTCGATAAATGCTCAAAATAAAAGTCGAAGTACAGGGAATGCTTTTAGAACTTAATTAAATATATTGTTTGCTTAAAATTAAGACTAATTCTTTCAAATCTATCTAACAAGTTCTTTAATTTAAACCCTTTATTCAACTTTTTAGTGATTCGAAGTCAAACTTAAATTTACTAAATAACTTATTCATTTAATTCTTAATTCATTTTCATCATCATTAGGTTAGATTCATTCTTCTTCCTATAATTTTGGAATAAAAGTACATGGTCATGTTACTATTGATAAAATTCCATGACTAACTCAAAAAATTGCTTTAGACGTACTGAAGATTGTTTACAGAAGTTTTTGTTTTAAAATTATCACTTATGAGTGCCAAACAATAGTATCAGTACTATTTGTTTTTCATATATAAATTTCTAAAATAAATGACCTCATAATGACCCATCCACTTTTATATAATTATCGGACATTAATTATTTTAATCCATTCATCACAACTGCATTTATCTTTATTCATGCTAATATTCATTTACAAAGATTTGATATGATATAAATTTTCAAACCTCGATTGTCTATTAATTCACCAACTGCAAACACATTAGCATCGATTACTTCAAGTGCAAGCCAATCATGGACGTGAAATACTGACATGATCTCCCTTGCAGCTCTTGTCCCAAGCAATGTTGTACAACTTACGCAGTAGAACTTAATCTTGAATAACTATAGTACGCAAAATACCTAAATATTTCATTTTAAATCACCATGGCAACATGTGAAAATGCTAATTATGCTTGTTGGTTTTATATGTGCTTGAGGTAAGCAGAAAAATAACGCTTGTGTTTGGTTTAATTACTCAGCAGTTACCAACTTCTCTCAGAGCATGGAATGATAAAAAACCGCACATTATGACAAACCTCAAAGAACCATAAATTGCATCCAAATAGATTTGTGCAATAATCATACCTCAAAACCGGATAAAAAGTAAAATAGTTTGGATGAAACCTTCTTTAGTGCTGTTGACTGCAGTGAGAGCTATTAACACTGTTTTACACTCCAAATTACAATGCTTTAGTTTACTCAAATATATTGCAGAAAAAGGCCTTACAATGTTTCTCGATCGTTTTAGCACACCAAAAAAGACAAATAAACTCATAACATAAATATATTCACTTATTTTCATTCATTTTCACTATATAATTCATGCCCACATTTCTCTTCAACTCCATAAAGTTTTTACTTTATAATAAATTTACATCTACTTAAGTCCTATATAGTACTCATAGGCATAGAAATAATAAAGTGTCGACCGCATCTGATCACTTTTTTACATTTACAACAATCACTAATTGCGTAATTACTTCCTATTGTAATGCATAGTGGACAATTCAGCGGAATTTTTGTTTCAACATTTAAAATGATATTTAAAATTTTATAAATAAATTTTTCAAAATATATTATTTGAGTGTATTATATTTCAAAAAATTATCTTTTAAGAATTCATTTAATTTTTCAAAGGTAGTTAACTAACAGAAAATAATCTTTAGGCTTGCAAAAGAACCTAGAATGAATTGAATTTGCGATATATTGGACAAACAATGAGCGTGGTAAAAACGAACGAACCAATGCCCACATGAAATAAAGTGGAGTTATCTCCAAAAATAGGTTTGATAATGCTCGTAGTGTTTTATTATAGGTTATAAAATTACTAATTATTTATAGTAAAGATTTTTTGAGAAATATCCCTGAGAAAATGAAAAGACGTTAATATCCGTGATTTTGTTTTGAATAATGAGTGTATTTATTTCGAGTCTGCATGGTATTTTTTTCATTTTCAGTATTTCATTTCACAGGATTTAAGTCTATTATTAGCTGACATATTTATTATTGCATGCAACTATATAATCTTACTAAATATATAATATAAAGATTTTTGTTTTTTATTTTTTATATTAAATTTTATATACACTTATTTTTATCATTTTTATGGTGTGTAAAAATATGTAATATAATATAAAAAACAAAAATTTGTCTTATGATTCACTCAATAAGACAAATATCTTGCTTTTTATCGTTTTCTAGTTTTTGTTTTTGATTTATTACATTTGAGTTTAATTGAGTAATCTTCATTCAATTGCTTCTTCTTGGCATCGTTTGTTGTAAAAAAGCATAGTTGACTTGTCTTATTTTAATATTAATTACTCTTTTGTTGGTCAGCATAGTGAAACTGTGCAGCATTCTTATTATTTAAGCTAGTAGCTAACAGTATTTAATTGTTACCATTAAAATTTAAGCTGTTTACTTTGTTTGGAATCATTTTTTTCCTCTATTCATTCCATAAAAATCTAACTTTTTGACTTTTAGTTCCCTTTAATTAGTTATTGTTTTGTAAACTTTTATATGCTTTTAATCTTGAATTACTTTATTAAGCAGCAAGTTTCATCAAAAGTTTATATTTTCTTTAAAATATTACAATCTGATAAAATTGTTTTGGACTAGAAAAATTTCGTTTAAAGTAGACTGTAAGCACTTTTATAATTAGATTGTCAAAATTCTTAATCATTTACCTCAAGAATTTCGATGATATATATGCAGGCATCTAGGAGAAGCTCAAATTACTTCATTGCAGTGGGATAATTTTAGATTTATCATAGTTAATTGCGCTTTGGATCAGTGGGCTATTGGCACCGACCACTTTTCCTACGCTTACATTTTATTTCGCTCTTAGCAAAAGACACAGTTAACAAAAGTGAGAAAAGGATATTGTTTGTTTCATGTTGAATTGTGGCACTGTTTCGGATGGCGTATGAAAATAAGAAATATTTTGAAAATAATAACTAATTTTAATTTGGCAGGCAAATTTTATGATTTTAAAAGTGATTTCATTTTCAAAATTTTTCTAAATTTAAATCTTTAAAAACTGAGTGATGAATTCACAACTGTGCTAAGTGATGTTTTTGAAGTATAATGCTTCTTTTCTACAACAGAAGAACTGGAAATTGCGTCTTCAGAAATGAACAATTTGACAGCTCACATGTTCTGCTCCAAATTTGTACTACATGGAATTTAAAGCTCGAATAACAAAGCTGAGGGGGACACATTCTGCAATGTTACATTGTGTGTATAAGCATGTGTGAATGCTTTGCTCGAACTTTAATTTAATTGGTACAAAAAATTATGTCACAACTATAACGTATCACTTTTTCAGTGCAGCAAGATGCTCCACTTCAAAATTTCAAAATACTGTAACGGCCATAATGTTCAAGCAGTTTATGTCTCAATAATTCTAAAAATCTAATCTCAACAGCGACAATCAGAACTGCACTAAATGGCAAAAATTTGACCAAGGCAGTGGATAATCACACCATAAGTTCTAATAAATATTGCAGTAGGAAGCTCATACTAGAACCAGAAGACTTTAAAGCAATGCACCATCGATACTCGACATATTAGACAGTATTCATAGTCAAGAGAGATTATAACTGAACTTTTTCATCTTAAATTCCGTAAGAGCCGATGGGTTTTTTCTACTTCGCTATACAGAAGTAAGTCGTATCGTTCCTATTGTATTACTTGTCTTAATGCAAGAATTTAGCAGTGAAAATTCATGAATATATGAAAAATATTTTAGCTTAGAAATGAAATCATTGGAATGCAACTTGTAATTATGTCAAAGGCAAGAACTAACTCCTCATTCATACCCAAATTAGTCCCCTATGATCAACTGCTGACGTCCTCCACGTCACTCATTTCTTTCAAGATTTAAACTAGGTACAACAAGAAGCTTATTATTAGCAATTACTTGTTGCAGTGTGCAACCACATTGTCGTTGCAGTGTGCAACCACATTGTCGTTGCAGTGTGCAACCACAATGTCGTTGTAGTTATGCAAATGTTGTAGTTAGAAATTGTGACTGGTTTAGCATTTTGCCTTCAGTTTTCTATACACTTAGGATCAACTTCTGTCAATTCTTGCACTATGCAAATTTTTCTAGATGAATCCCACATCGCTATGTTTGCTAATAGTTCATTCAAGTCCAGCTTAAAGTGTTGACTCCTTGCTTCCTCGACGTAGTCTTCAATTTAAATTTGGTAGAGGGCTGTTTTTGCTCTGTAGAAGTGATTTCTTTTCATGGCTTTGTAGTTGAATGTCATGATATTCATAATTATTGTGTAAAAGCAATGATAGAAATCAATACATTTTGCAGATATCAAAGTTGGTATGCCTGTATATATTTCCGCAACGTGACTTGCCTTTGCAATAATCCTGACTATTGTGAGCACGTCCCAGAATATTTGCAGGTATGTTGTTAAAAGGTTTAAAAGGTTCAATCATATCCTGTTTTTGTGGCTGCGGTTTTTGTTGGTTCGTACTGTTGGCTTTCATATTAAGAAGAGATTCATATGTATTTTGAATGGGTTACAATTATGTTTCAGAAATGTAGTCAATTACGTCTGTACCTTTCCCACAAAATTAGATTGCTGACTAAAGGGGGTATTGAAATCTGTATTGATTTTTCACGAAGCAAAATCTGATTCGGTAGTTTCTTGGAGAATAACTAACAGTAATAAGGATTAATAGTTTGCTAATGTTAGGATCTATCTGTGCGATAGACAGTTTAATTTATGATATATGGATTGGAATTAGTGAGATGAAATTCTCTTAACGTTTAGAGCGAAGCGTTTCGTGGACGCAGGAGCTCAGAAGCAGGAAGCAGAGGTAGATTTAAGGAATCTTTTGCAAAGGACGTGGTCGGTATTCTTTGGAAGTGGAAATCAGCACTGAAAATTTTTCGAAATGCTGAGGATCGGCAAGAGACGTGTGAATGCTGAGAACTCTTCACAAGAAACAGAATTTAATGTTAAAGATTTTCGAGAAATAGGAATGTATGCCGAGAGTTTTGGACGAAAAACAGAAGCAAATGCTAAAAATTCTCGGCAAGAAACGAGTAAATGGTAAGGATTCTTCACGAGAAACGGGAATCAGTGCTAAAAAGTCATCAGAAATAGGAATAAATGCTGGGAATTTTTGGCGAAAATATGCTAAAAATTCTTGGCAAGAACGAGTGAATACTGAAAACTCTTCTCGAGAAACAGCAATTAGTAGCGAGAAATCTTCAGAAATAAGAATGAGTGCTGAGAATTTTTGGCAAGACAGAGTCAAAAGCTGAAAATTCTCGGCAAGATACGACTGAATGCTGAGATTTTTTGGCGGAAGGCAGGACCAATAGCTGAGAATTCTCCGCAGGAAACAAGTAAATGAATTCAGAAGAAGAAACAGGACTAAATACTGACAGTTCTTCTTCGAACGAGTAGATGATGAAAGTTCTCGATAGGGAACAGAATTGTTTGCTGGAAGTTCTTCGCAGGAAATAAAAGTAAATACTGCGAATTCTTCGCAAGAAATGAGTATGTCTGAGGATTATTCACAAGAGAGGAAGGAATACTCAGATTTCTTCGCAAGAAGCAAGCGTGAATGCCTAGAATTCTTTCTAGAAACAGGAATATATTCCGATTTTGTTATTTTTGCCATGTTTTTTTCTTAGCTTCAGCTTTGTCTTTCTCGTATACTTTTATCATCTTTTTAAACTTGTGACCAAAGTTATTTTCCTGTATTTTTCGGTTTTAAGCGTATGTTCTTGTTGCAGTTGTACATTTTTCCTTCTGATTTTAGTTGTATATTATACTTGTAGTGAAATTTCAGTGTTTTTTGGTCGTATTTGTACACCTTGTATGTCCATTTCTGCGTAAAAGTAAATTCTTGGAATTGTTTTTCTCTTTTTTCAGTTACAGCTATTCTTCTCAGTTTATTCTATCTTTTTGATTTCACATTCTTAATATTGTGTTTATTTTTCTTGTGTCTTTTGTTACTTAATGATATTCTTAAGATGTAAATAAGTTTTTTTTGGCCAAATGTAAATCTGAAATGCAAAATGCAGGTCTTTATGGTCTTAAGTTTATTTTAAGATTTGTATTCTAGTTTTTTATTTGTGTTCTTTGTAGTTGTATTTTCCAAGTTAATGCAGTCAGCATTGTTGGCAGTGCATTTACATTAAAATAAAACATGGTTTAAAAGGATAAAAAGTATTGAATTATTGTTACATCTCAGTAGTCAAGCACTGAATGAGAAAATATCTAATTACAATATCTAATGGACCTAATTTGCCACCGGGGCATCATTTGCACAATAGTTGTAATAAAGTAATGAATGCTCTTAATTGATGAATACATTTGATCTACATTAGACTACAGATCTCTAGATTGATCATTTAACATAAATGTGTAGTTCATAAGCACACACTAATCATAATATGCATGACATCACCTAACATGTCAGTTATTTTGTGAAAACTGTGAACGTCATAGAAATCATATATTGATACATATGTAGAACAGATCAGAAGCTATTTACCATATGCAATCAAGTCAGAAATCAGAAGTACCAACGTAATCTCAAATGGGAAAACCTGTTTTGAATGTAAAACTAGCATATTTCTATCACACTTTTTGAAATAAGTCTTGCAAAAAACTGCGAAAATATATTCTCACATATATGTTTTTGTTCGAGTTCGAAATATTTCTTATTCTCACATAAAAAGTGAATCCCATCTATTTTAATATAAACAGCAAAAAAAAATTGCAAGAAACAAATTCCTTGCAAAAAGAAACGCGAAATCTGTATAGCTTTATCTATTGTTGAACAATATTCGCACTGATAAAACGATCAGATATGAGTTGGTGTTTCTAATGCTTGGAAAAGTCCTTGCAAACTGCAAATTTATCCCAACAAGCATGCTAACATAATTTGAATTCGAAGTGCTTCAGTTTTTCAGAAGCCCAAAGCATTTTTAACTGTGCCATATTCGAATGTTTCCTAACCTATATGTGTACGTTTGTGTCTCTTCAAATGTACGTTTTGTGCGAATCTTTTCTTACAAGTATTGCACACATACGGTTTCTCTCCAGTATGTGTGCGCTTGTGTTGATTTAAATTACTATAAGTCGTGAATCTTTTCTTGCACATACTACACATGTACGGCTTCTCACCGGTATGTATGCGCTTGTGTCTGTTCAAACTACCAGAAGATCCGAATCCTTTCTCACATACATCACAAATGCATGGTTTCTGACCTGTATGTATGCGCTTGTGTGTTTTCAAATCATTAGAACTTCCGAATCCTTTCTTGCATACATTGCATATGAATGGCTTCTCACCAGTATGTATGCGCTTGTGAGTGTTTAAATAGCTAGAACTTCCAAATCCTCTCTCGCATACATTGCATATGAATGGCTTCTCACCGGTATGTATGCGCTTGTGTGTGTATAAATTACTAGAACTTCCAAATCCTTTTTCGCATACATTGCATATGAATGGCTTCTCACCGGTATGTATGCGCCTGTGTGTGTATAAATGACTATAAAACGAGAATCTTTTCGTGCACACATCGCACATGTACGGCTTTTCACCAGTATGTGTGCGTTTGTCTACGTTCAACTGACCAGAATTGGTGGAGTCTTTCTCACATGTATCGCATACGTGCAGTTTTTTACTGGTATGTGTGCTGAAGTGCAGGGTTGA